TTTCTTTTGTTCGAATTTATTTTTTCTTAAATATTTTTTAAATTTTTGAGTCAAAAGTGCAATGTCATTGTCACTGTCCTCATCACTTGATGTTCTTTTCAAGTGGTCTTCTTGTGATGTGAGTGTCATATCCTTCCTGTTTTTTGGAAGGGGGTTCTCGAGCTCGTCATGAGCTTGACATATCATTTCGTAGGTCATTAAAGACCCAATGAGTTCTTCAAGAGGGAATGTTTTAAGGCCTTTGGCCTCTTGAATGGCCGTAACTTTTGGATCCCAACTTTTTGGGAGAGATCTTAAGATTTTAGTTACTAGTTCAAAGTTAGTAAAACCTTTACCAAGAGCTTTGAGTCCATTGATGACATCCGTGAATCGGGTGTACATGTCTCCGATGGACTCACTTGGTTTCATTCGAAAAAGTTCGTAAGAATGCACAAGGATATTAATTTTGGACTCTTTCACTCGGCTAGTGCCTTCATGAGTGACTTCAAGAGTTCTCCAAATATCAAAAGTCGAATCACAAATTGAAACGCGATTAAATTTATTTTTATCTAGTGCACAAAACAAGGCATTCATAGCCTTTGCATTTAAAGTGAAAACCTTTTTTTCCGATTCGTTCCATTCGCTCATCGGAAGAGAAGATTTTTGAAATCCATTCTCGACAATAGACCAAAGCTCAAAGTCCATAGAAATGAGGAAGATACTCATGCGAGTCTTCCAATATGTGTAATCCGACCCATTAAACATAGGTGGTCGTGCAATAGAATGGCCCTCTTGCATGTCGGAGTAAGCCATCTCTCTTGGGTATTAAACCAAATATGAGAGATAACCTTGCTCTGATACCAATTGTTAGGATCGGAGCGGCACTAAGAGGGGGGGGGGTGAATTAGTGCAGCGGATTAAAACGTTGGTTTCGACAAATCTTTCGTACGATAAGAACGGAACTTGAAAAGCTTAACTTGAAAGCGTATTCTTAAAGTTACGCAGCAAAGGTAATAAGGAACTAAAGCATGTAAGAAGGTTTGTAGTAATGTAAATAGCAATAACGAAATGCAAACCAGAGATCACGCCGATTTTAGAGTGGTTCGGTCAAATGACCTACATCCACTTGCGAGGCCCCTTTTTGATGAGGCTCCCACCTTCCACTAGCAAATCTCTTGAAATGGAAGGGCAAATACCCCTCTTACAACCTTTTACAAGCAGTTCAACCTCTTACAAATTTTCAGCAAGAAAGAAGGAGGAGAACTCTCTAGCAAATTGAAAACAAGAAAGGCAATGACTCTTCTAAGACTTTTCTCTCAATCACTTGCTGCTCAAAGAGTTGTGTTCTCAACTGAGACTTGAGGGGTATTTATAGGCCTCAAGAGGATTCAAATTTGGGCTCTAAAAATTTGAATTCTCTTATGTTCCCGATACTGGCGGTGCCACCGCCCAACGCTCGGGTGCTGGACGGTGCAACCGCCCAGCCCAAGAGGTGTCACCACCCAGCTCTCGGGTGCTGGGCGGTGCTACCGCCGAGCCAGGCGGTGCCACCGCCTGGCTCTCCGATTTCACTGGTTTGGCTTAATTTTAGCCCAAACCAAATCTGACTTTGGGCCCAATTAGCCCCTAACCAGGATATAGGATTATCTCTTAATCCTAATCCTAATTACAAGTGAACTACATAATAAAAACACATCCTAAGCAAGCTTTCAACCGCGAACGTTGAGTCTTGTTTCGGCGAGCTTTCCGACGAACTTCTTCCGACGGACTCCCAGCAAGCTCTCGAACTTGTGATGACTTTAACGAGTAGCCGAGCCTTCTCGGTGATCTCCGTGAACCTCCGACGATCTCTTCGGCAAACTTCCGAAAATTCTGACAGGTTCCCGATTTCTTCTTGATTGGTTCCGACAACATCTCCGACGATTCTTCGGACTCTTAAACGTCCATCGAACTTGACTCTAGTATACTTGCTTTGTGTTTTCTGGTTATCGTAGTTAATCCTGCACACTTAGCTCAATAATATGGATTAGATCAATTAACCCATCAATTGATTTTATCAGCAAAATCTGAGATTCAACAAATGTCAATATTGGTGATAAAATAAAAAAATTAAAAGATTGGTCATTAACTTATACCACCCTTGTAGCACTAACAACAATGTTACATATGAAACTTCAAGATCATTAAACTAGCAGGGGTAATAAAATCTTTAAGAAAGAAAAATTATTATTATAAAGATAAAAAAACTAAGGTACCAACAAGCTCAAACTTCCAACTTAGATATGTATCTAATATTTTTTTTTTGAGTTCGGTAATAATACTATAAATATAGAGTTTTAATGATTACGAGATAAATATTAACAACTTGACTATAGTTGTAAGGTAAATATCTAGTGTGGAAGAACATATCCTAGATAAAACTAAATTGAGCATGATCCCCAAATCGCATATATTAATAGTTGAACAAAGCCAGCAAAATGGAATTATGATTTTATCCACAAAGACAATAACCTCCGATTCGATATCAATCGAATGAACAATCATAATGTTCGACATACGAAGCGATAAAATAATTATAATTTTATTTAATTCATATCAACTTTTTTTAATCTTATGATACTCATTATAGTGTAGATCAATTTTTTTTCAAATTTTAAATAAAATTATAAAATTTATCATGTTATAAATTATGTTTAATTAAAAAGGTATTACTGGTTCAAACTTGAACTGAAACCAGCCAAACCGTTGATTGGGTTCCGATTTTAGGTTTTAGAAAACTGGAATCATTGATTCTGAAGCTGAAATTATCTCTTATGAAACCATGATTAGGGTTACTACTAGAGGTATCATGGTTTCAATGATAATCCATCAAAAGATATTGGTTAGGTAATTGGTTCACAAGTTAAAGAGGGACGTCAAAAAGCCAATTGTTTGGATAAATATCATTAGCACAACCATTCCCAATGACTTTGAAACCTCTTAATCTTTTCCAAGAGACTTCATTGAAACCTTGCTTGAGTTTATGCATGCCAGTCATGATTAATTTCTAAGACCAACTAGTATTATGGGTTGGGCTTTTACTGCAAAGGATGTTACTATCATGCTTAGCCTGCACCACCCTACACCACAGGGTCTCTTCAGTTTTATGGTACGAACTGGTTCTCCTTCACAAACGAGGACATATTTGGAGAGATAAAAGGTCTGCAACCCCAAGTCCCAAAGATTGTTTATGAGCGTAACAATCTCCTGACTTTTTCTTAGTGAATTTTTTGCCACAACAAGTTTTTAATAAATCGTTTATTTTTGTTGAGTAAATGTAAAGACATCTATCTCACGAATAGGGTGTGAATTTGCAAAGAATCTATAATGGAGTTAATCAAAAGAGTCCTACCAACTTGTGAATGAAAAGACCTGGACCAACTACTAAGCTTGTGCTGGATTTATAATAAGCAGCAGAGGAGTTACTAGGTATGTAAAAGGGAAAAGTTCTCTCATTAATCTTAAAGAGAGAACATCTCAATCTTTTAGTTTCGCATTCCTAGGAGAAAAAAAAGGGGTAAATTTACCAAGATTAATTTTTTAATTAAAGAGGCTTTTATCACAGAAAAATTTTGCCTGATATTATTACAGAAATTTTTATTTACTCTTAAACACAATAAAATGTCATCTGCATTGTTTTGTTGTTCTTAAGTATTTGCTATCGAAAAATTTTGAAAGGGGTAATAAGACCATGTCACATATTTTTTTCTCAACGTATAAGTGAGATATTAAAATAAAAGGATATATAAATATATAAGGATAATGGATCATGTTGTTGTTTTTTCATCCGAATATTTTATTTTATTTTATTTTTCGTAGAAAAACTTGCATCATGCAGTTTTGAAGTGGCTTATCTAAAGTTGCTTAACCATACAAATTATGGTATTATATAAAGGATGTAGTTTTACAGTTGGTGGGGGTTCAAGATCCGATGACCGTGTCGCCCGATCCCCCTTCTCGCCCCTTTCCCTTGTTTCACGAACCGAACGCAACGCCGATGTCAAAGATCGAGCTGAGTCTTTCCCGTCCGAGCCGCGTCTACCGCCTCGGCGTACGCACCGCACCCTCAGCCTTCCTCCTCCTGCCTCTCTCTCCTCTTCTTGATCCATAACTCTTGTCTTCCATCCTGTCTCTCTTTTTGTGGCCTTCTCCAGGAATCCATCGAAGGAAAGATCGTAACGGTGCTCACCAGCCCCATCTCCTACCAAAAGATCGTCATCACCGCCACCGGAACCGTCAACCTTCAGGTACACGCACACCAAAGGACAAAGAAAGCCTTCTCTCTTGTTCTTGGGCTGTGTTGGGAGTCACTAATCTCTTTCGTTTTCTAAAGGAAAGATCCGAGCGGGCGTGACGGGGGTGATCGATTCCTTGTACGGCGTGGTCAAGCCTATACGCATCTTGTAAGCCCCTGTCTTACGTCTATGTACGCGAATCTTTCTGGCTTCGCCATGTTTTTGAGACGATGTTTCCGACGGGTCAACATTGTCACTTCCTACAAGCGGGCATCTGTTTGAGGTCGTTTGTTTTGGCTCCTGACTTCGTGGTGTTCTTTTCTGTGTTCTTGTCCTCGATACAAGCCTAAAATACATGGACATCTTCAACTATTAATATAATTCTGCTTTGAAACTCGGAGAGGTTATTCCATAGTTCGTTTTCTTTTTCCTTTGTTGTCATGACCAGTAGTCAACTAATTGTAACACAATTTTGAATGGTCTGAAAGTTTACGTCGTTGTTTCCAAAGATTCGTTTAATCCTTGCTGTTAACAGTCAATAAGTTTTCTTTTCTTTTGTGGTAATGCACGAAAATTAATTATGCTCTTGTGTCTTCCATTTCTGAGTTCCGTCAATGTGATTTATCTCACACATAAGAAAATATGGATACAAGCATGCTATTGAAGACATTGCAATGGTCAATTTCTTGCTCCGATTCCAATAGTTTGATTTGATGGACAGGAAAAAGAGCTTGCAGGTTGCATCTGCTGGAAAGTTAGGTCCAGGTAAAATAGAGGTGAGTAAGTGCGATGTGATATATTATAAACTTGGGTGCATGGGAATTTAATTTAGAACAAGTAATTCCTTTTGGTACTTGCACATTCTTATTTTCCCTTATGTTTTCTTGATCTATCATGCATGCATGTGTTCTTCCAAAATTCAACCAATTCCATCTCATATATACATGTAGGTGATCCAATCTTAATTTTATTTCCCCGATTGATGCTGATGTAGTATTTCCATCACATAACTCTTCTGTTCATAGTTGATTTGAAGGATGCAAAACATTTAAAATTCTACTGTATAAGGGGAATTGATTGCATCATTCCTGTACTCAGATTTAAATTTTCTTAGTTTTGCATTCTTATTTTGCATTCCATCTTGGTTGCACAGGGCAAGTATCTTTTTATTATATTTAGCTTGCATTTAGAGTAAATAATTTAACAGTGGGGGTCCTTGATGTTTGAACATTTAGTTGGTTTACTCTGTTTGGATATCATAAGTCTGTGGTGCAGAAGACTTTTATCTACCTTGCTAATGTAAAAGAAATAGTAAACTTTGAAAAATCTATTTGTTTGCCCTCTTTCTACTTCTATATAAGATCTGGCATAAAAATATTGTTCAGTAATTATTCACATCTTGATGGGTTTGAAATGTGCAGCTTTTGGGTTTTCACATTTGAAGATGCAAGAAAAGAACTAATCAGTTTACTTAAAATTATGGTTACATATTAAGACTATCATTTCGAGAACGTAGGTTACATGTGTTGTGAAAGTTCAAGAGGTATTGTAGTAGAATAGTAGTACAAGAATGACACAATAATTCTCTTGCATATAACAGTTCTTAATTAATCTTGTTGGCAATGGGATGGAAAACGCTAAATAGTGCGTAAATTTTTTTTCGGATATACAAATTGAGACAAAAGGGATGAAACTACTGCTTTCTTGTAATATATGTTTCATTTTGATATCCTCAAGGAGTACTGAAAGTACATTGCTAAAAAAGTGCTGAACAAATCTCTAGTTAGTACTGTGAAAAAACAAGCTCTTGTTTTTCAGAAGGTATCCATTACATTTGGTGTATGCTATTTAGAATAAAAAATCAATTATTTTAGCAGTTAACAAAGGCGGAAAACAAGTCCTTAAAAGATAAAGAAATCAATATCTTTGATCAATTGCTTAACAAGAGGAGAATATTGATAAAAGCATTTCTTAGAGGTCTAAAGCAAGAGTATTGTGTGACTATTGTGCATCCGTTAGCATTAAATGTAATTTTTATTAGATAGTTGTAGGGCCTATTATAGTTTAAGAGAACATTAAGCTTTTAGGAAAGAGCATATAAAAAATGTTGTGGCTTTTTTTGGTAGGTAGAAGCGATAGGACCAGGAATGTATATATTCTAGAACAATCAAGGATATTTTGGTCATTGACAACATGAGGGGTGCACTTTAAGATGATTTATATGCATTGATGTAATAAGGTGTGCACTTTAATATACATATACATTCTTTAAGATATGTTTATATTCTTGTCTAGAGAATACCTATATATGCATTTGTGTAATAAGGTGAGCCAATTAAGGTTTTTGGTGCTAGAAGATGTAGAATACTTAAGAAGGTTTTATTTGTGCACATAAGTATGGATTTCATGGCCTCTTACTTTGATTATTGACATAGCTACTTATAGAGTTCAATGACAGGAAATGATCCATGTAGTCAACTCCAAATAGTTGTGATTTGTGGTTCATTGCTGTATTCACACACTTGTGATAAAATAGAGCAAATATGGGTTAATCGTGTTATATTCCTGGCACTTCTGTGAGGAAAGACAAGAATAGTAGCTTTCTATCATTTGTGGGCAAAGTTCATTATTGCCTTCTTTAAGGTTTTTCTTAGTCATGCTGTTTGGTCATGTCATGTAGAATGGTTCTAGATTTCTTTGAAATTTGTATTAATACTTGGCTCAAGTTCATAAATTCATTTTCAAAGATCCTTTTTTAGATAATGCTAAAAGCAAGGTCTTCAATTTCAAATAATATTGCTCATACCGAGCGATATGTATCGATCCGTATATATATATATATATATATATATATATATATATATATATATATATATATATATATATATATATATCTGGGACGTTGCCTCTCTTCTCCCCACGCGGGGCGATGTCGCAGAAAAACGAGGTGACATCAGATATTTTTATTATATATATATATATATATGTATATGTGTACATATATATATATATATGTATATGTATATGTATACATATATATATATATGTATATGTATACATATAAAATTATATGTATATATGTTTACATATACATATATATGTATATGTACACATATACACATATATATGTATCCATATACATATATATGTATACGTATACATATATATGTATATGTATACTTATACATATATGTATATATGTATACATGTATATGTATGCATATATGTACATG